AAAAAAAAAAAAAAAAGAAAAACAATGCAAATGCAGAGGAGTAATCTCTTGGAAATGTAAGAACTCGTATAAAAATATTACATTTAGGGTAAGGATAAAAGTTCAAAATTAAACATAAATGTTGTATAATTTAATAAGAGTACCTTCTTATTGTCTGTGACCACCAATGACCTGTAAAAAGTATCCGGATAGATGCCCCTAAAATACGAGTCGACCTGATCCTTTCTAGTCAGGCCTGCAGGAACAGGCGGTACGTCTCGAACGAGAACAGCAAACTGCTCGCTCTTCACCTCGGGCGACATAAGAGCTGAACTTCTGAGCTCGGCCACATGCTTGTAAGCCTTCCACAAGAGGCAATAAGTGACGAAACTAACCCAATAGGTGGCTATCACAAAGGCCCACAAGCGAGGACTTCGTTCCTATCAGCCACAAAAAAATAAAAAATAAAAAAATAAATAGAGCATAGAGAAAAAAGTTCAGCATAAATAGGCCAGAGGGTATAGTATTGTTCATAGCATGATAATATTATCATAGCAAATTAGAAATTAGCGATTTGAATGAAACTCATGGAGTAAGTAACCTCGATGTTCCCCATGGATAGCTTGTCGAGCTCGTCAAACGAGTTTTCGCTGGTGGTGTCGTTGGTTTTTGTCGGGCCTTTAGCAGTAACAGCCACAGGCAGAAGAACAGGTAAAAGGACAAAGCCAGACAAAACCAATATTCCCAATACTGCATGAAAAAAAAAAAAAAGCAGGAAAAAGAAAAAGAAAGTACTTTCAGCTAAATGGAATTTCTAGTGTAGTCGATTAGTGCGAAAAAGACATGAAAAGACAATCAAGATACAAAAAAATGCTACAGATTCATCTCAACATGACAGAATGAAAAAACATAGCTTGAGGTATAAACAAGATACAAATGACAATAATGCTACTGATTCATCTCAATATGACAGAATGAAAAAACATAGCTTTGGGCATAAACATGATACAAAAGATACAAATGACACAGACAATTAAAGCTTCTTTAAAAAAGACTAGCTTGATGTTTTGGGTGAATTATCATATGCTTTCAGGTGCACATGTCATTAGGAATCGAGCCAACATGCGACGGATACTTACGATTAATACGAGTCTATTATAGCTAGTGAAGCATTTCTCACAACACACAGAGTGATTCATGTAATTAAGGCACTGGACAAGAAGGGAATGAAGCATTTTTCCATATCCATTAGGAAAAATATAATCCAAAATCAGAAATTTCAGTAGCCCATTCAGACAAAAAACACTGTCATGGTGAATCATTAAGTATTCGGATCCAGAACTGTTAAAACTAATTAACTTTGCTGAAACATTAGCATTTCATCTCACAAGTCAAAAAAAGGATAATCAATAAAGCCATTGAAAAGAAAAACAAAACTGTAAACCAATAACCCAGTCCAAAACACACAGACACGATTGCACTTCACTTAAAAGGGGGAGAAAGTTTCACCGGTGGTGAGGAAAACGAAGTAGACGGCGGTATCAACGCCGGACATCCTGATGACGTCAGCCTCGGTGGAGACGACGGCTTCCCGGATCCAAGCGAACGGGTTCCTGCTCAGGCGCAGGCCCTCGTACGGATCCAAACCTCTCAAGATCCGGTTCGGGTAGTACACGACGTGGTTGCCGGGTCGCCTCGGCAGCCACGTGAACACGAACATCAAAACCAGGAAAATCACGAACGACGTCCCTAGGGACGTCAAGAACGAGCTGAAATCCATGGCCCCTCTTTCACTCTGCTAACGCATACACTGTGTTGATAACAGATTTGGAGCTGAAAAAAAAAACTCAAAAAAAAAAGGGATTTTGGAGCAAAATATCCAAATGGGGGGTTAGGAACAGGGGTTGGCTGCCGTTTAGGGGAGCATTTAAAGAAGAAAGTAACCGTTGAGAGAGAGATAAAAGTTGGAAGTGGTTGCTTACTTATCCTTTAATGGCAGAAAAAAGAAAAAAAAAAAAAGATTGAATCTTTAAGGGTTGTGGGGTAGAACCAAAGCCTGCAAATTTCGTTTTCTTGGTTATGTGCTGTAATTTACTACTATGTTCTTGGGATTTTTGAAAGGGGTTTCTTGATTGTGGTGTGGATTGAATTGTTTTGCAGGATTTTTTTTTAGGTCCCAGTGAAGATGGATAATAGTAGTATTAATTAACAAACAGCCTGTGTTTTTTGTGCCCTTTGCTTTTGATTTTCAGCCTTTTTTTTATTTGAGTTTTTCATCACTTTTGATTCTGGTGAAAGAGAGATTAAGAGCTGTCTGTGTGATTCGCAAAGCAAGGCGGATTAAGAGCTGCTTTGTCTGTGTGTGTGTGTGTGTGTGTGTTTTTTTTATTATTATTATTTATTTATTTATTTATTTTTGTTTATTTTTTTATTGTGTGTATTTATTATTTAAGTAGATTTTTTTAAGTAAAAGAGACATAATACTTTTTGTATCCATAATGCACACACCGTGGGTAATGCGTGTTGTAAGCCACACACATGACACATGTTCAAATTTCAACACTTTTGGATATATTTCATTTTTTTTTTTAAAAAAAATTTAATCACAAACTTAAAATTATCAAATGCATAAATTAGGATATCAATCAAACAGTAATGCTCCACTACCCACGGTGGTCACATATTAATATATCCATCGCTTATGTGGCATGCACACATTGGTGATTTTAATATGTTCGAAAAAATATATCACCAATGTATGCATGACACATAAGCAATGGACATATTAACATATGTCCATCGTGTGTAGGTGAGCGTTACTCGTCAATCAAGTCCCAAAAAGTCCAACACTATCAAAGATTGAAGAAGGTAGTCATATTTTCTTTATAATAATATTATAGGTGTAAATTTAATATTTAATTTCATGCAAGTATACTTTTAGTACAGTTTACACAAATTTGTCTAGAGTTAGATACACATATATCTATTTATTTTTATGCATGATATTGCATGATTACTTTTGATTAGTGTTGTAATCGAATCGAATGAGCATAGCTTGGGATGTTCAAATCTTATGAGAAAATGTATTTAAATCTTATAAAGGTTAAAATTCTATGAGAAGATGTATTTAAACCTTATTATTTTTTTATGGATACACATTTATTTATTTATTATTTATTTATTTATTTATATGCATAATATTTCTATGAGAAAATCTATATATATATATATATATTTACTAGCTAATAGCATTTAATAAAACCTATTTAATTTTACCTATGTGGCAATTTAACAAATTCCCTCCAAAAACCGTTACTTTTGATGTATTTAATATTTCATTTAATTATTAAATAATCAATACTAATCACTTCAAAATTACAAAATTCATTTTAAATTTTTGATTACTGATAGTTGACCATATTATATGTTGACCGTATAATGTGATTGGATGTTATTATTGTGGTTACATTATTTTCATTTTTTTAAAAAATAAAATAATAAACTTATCTGAATTTCCTAAATAAATAATAAATAAATCACAAAAAAAGACGTACTCAAATATACATTACATCCGATCAGATAAATGCAATTTAAAAATATATATATATTTCAACTCCTTTAATTGTAAATTTGGCCTGAGAAAAGTGAAAAAAAAAAATAAATAATCGTTATATGCATATAAATAACTCACAATACTTTATTTTTTACATCTGTGCAAATGCATAGGTTCTAATACTAGTGTATTTAAATCTTATAAAGGTTAAAATTCTAACACATAGATTATACTAAAGAATACATTTTTTTTTTTTTTTTTTTTTTTTT